GGGGTGGAGCCCCTCGGGGCAGGTACGGCCCCCCGTCCCGGCGCTCGGAGTACAGAGTGATCGTCTCGGGTGAGTCATTCCTCTCTTTTTTTTTTTAGCCCAAATTGTTCCCCCGGGGTCCTCCAGGCAAGGTTCCCAGCGAAGGGCGGGGGGGGGAAAAGGCATCCGGCTCTGAGTTGTTTCTTAAAAAGCATCGCCTCGCGTAGCCTGGGAGGAATGCTGTCTGTAGGATGCAGAGAGCTCCTCGAGGCAGCCGCTCTGCTCGCTAGTCTCTTTTGTTCGCTGCGAGCGGATGCTCTAGCTACAGGAGGTGAGAATATAATCCGGTTTTAAAGTAACGTCTTGCTTTTTACGTAGGGCTGCCTCCAAGTGGAAGTTGGCAGGATTTAAAGGATCACATGCGTGAAGCAGGTGATGTATGTTATGCTGATGTTTTCCGAGATGGCACTGGTGTCGTGGAGTTTGTACGGAAGGAAGATATGACCTACGCTGTGCGAAAACTGGATAACACTAAATTTAGATCTCATGAGGTAGGTTTCACACTTACTTTCTTTGGCCAGAATTGGATACAAGGGGCTTAACAGTAGGATTTGAAGGTAAGGAACGTGTGGTGTTCACTGTGTATATACAAAGCAGCTAAGTAAGTCGGTGGTCAGTTTATCAGGAGATAGACTTTAAAGCTTTGATGTCTATTTCCGTGCTGTAGTGAACGCTATCTTCAGTCTGTCAGCATGCCTAAAAAGATGGCCCTAAAGCCTAGACTTTTCAATCGAAAGTTCTGTCTATTCAATAGGGAGAAACTGCCTACATCCGTGTTAAAGTTGATGGCCCAAGAAGTCCAAGCTATGGAAGATCTCGGTCACGCAGCCGTAGTCGTAGCAGAAGCCGTAGTCGAAGCAACAGCAGAAGCCGCAGTTATTCCCCAAGAAGAAGCAGAGGATCTCCACGCTACTCTCCCCGCCACAGCAGATCCCGATCTCGTACATAAACGATCACTAGCTCTGATCTTTTTGTAGAACCCCATGTTGTACACAGTTTTCCTTTACTTAGTACAGTCTTTCATTATATTTTTTTTTTAAAATTCAAACTGTTTTATTCAAATTGGCTGAAGTGTTGAATTGCATTCTTGTGTAAAATCCCTAGTGGGTATTTGCTCCTTAACATCAACATTCCCCTCATGTCTTTGGTAAATTGTATTTTAATTGATGTCAGTCAGGATTGTTTCGGTTTAGTTCTAGTTAAATACCAACATTCTTCAAACTGTGGTATTGCTGTGTAAATGTCTCAGTGTTCAGCTATGGTTTATACGAGCTGGGGATGTTGGGATGTTTGTGGCTAACTTGTCTCTTCTGGGGGATCTTATATTTTATCTTGCCTTTTCGTGTGTCTTTCTGTAGACATATCTGAAGAGATGGATTAAGAATGCTTTGGATTAAAGGATTGTGGAGCACATGTCAATCATTTTAGGATTGTCAAAAGGAGGATTGAGGAGGATCAGATCAATAATGGAGGCAATGGTATGACTCCAAGTGCTATTGTCACAGATGAACTTGGCAGTATTGACCTTATACTGAGAGACAGGTTAATTGAGTACGTGCACCTACGTGTCACTTCAGGCATGTTCTAGTTACCGCAGACTGCAATTGCTCTTTTCTTTAAATCTTTTTTTTTTTTTTTTTTTGTGGGGGGCAATTGTGGCTAAATACTTGCTTTTGTAATTCTTGATTCCATTCTAGTTTTTTAAAGGAATAAACTGGGACGGGGGTGGGAGTATTGGTTTACTTTGTCATGCAGCATTTGGTTACAAGTGTTAATGTTATGTAGTATTTGTACACTTGTAGTAGATCAAGGGTATGTTTAAATCGGAGTATAATATCAATACTGCTAAAATCTGCATGTCCTCTGTGTGACTGATACAGCGTTGCTATTTCATTTTTTTAAAGTATCAGAATGACAGCAAAAATAGGAAATCTAGTTAGGAGTAATTTCTTAAATCTCAGCCCTGCCCCCTCAGACTAATTCACAGTTGACTCACCGATATGTTTGAAAACTCCGGTTAGTTAATTTTGTTACCTTCCAGCTGGGAGTGCTAGCTGTAGTTCAGACAGACAGTAGGTGGATAGCTTTAGCTGTAAGCTTTTCCAGTTTCATAAACATTTTTTGCAACCACAAAACCTGTAGCACACCACCGTATGAGCAATGAGTATGTTGGCATTTTCAGTTGACATATTGTAAATATTACAATGTTTCCTCCAAATAGTAATTAACATTTCTAAAAAATTATCTGAGCATCACCATTCAAAAGTTTGTTTTGGGGAATTGATAGTTATTAATGTACATCTGTATTAATTGATGGCAAACATAACTGATCATTCCCCAGAATCCTATTTTTTCATTACAGTATCTAACTTTTTGCCTCCTCTTTTTTGGTTTTGCTGGTTATAAAGGTTTGGATTGGAGAGGGCTCACTGGATCCCAATCCTTGGAGCTGGATCATTGGATTCAAATCATAATGTGGATAGGATAGGGAGGCTGAATTACAAGGATTCATGGAGCGGGATCAAATTACCAGGAACATAGGAGTGGATTCCTGCCCCAACCAAACCGCATTCGTGTGGATTTTTTTTTTTATTCAACTCAATTGGCTATTCCAAAGATATTTTTTTCCTATTTTTGACGATTGGAGCCCTTAAGATGCACGATGGAGTTTTTCATTTTTTTGGTAAAAGGAGCAAAGCGAGGACCTGGAGAGGTACGCTGGAGCAATCTCCTTGGAAGGATTCAGCACGAGTAGATGGTAAACGTTAAAGGGGAAAAAGGGGGGTTTGTTTAAAAAAAAAAAAGTAAATAAGTCATTTCTCTAAATTTAAAGACAAAAATTGGAGTTAAAAGATTTAAGTAGGTTTTCAATTGGCTATTGCCTTTTTTTTCTTTGACAAATAAAATTTTTAAAAAAACGTGCACGGTTGTCATCATTTGTTGCTAAGAGTCTGAAGTCCTTGCGTGCCGCTGCGGCGTTGTTAAATCGCAAGTTTGCAGACAAAAGGCTTTTGTGTTCAACAGAGACGTAGTGTTTTGCAGGAAGCATTGATGTTTGAGCTTCTCCTAAATAAAGGATCCGTTCCCTGGGAAATGGGTGGAATTTATTATGCGAGTAAGGGAAGAGAAAGAAATCTCACCCCTTAAACGAGGATGGTTTCGTAGGAATGTTGTTGCTAACGCTGCTCCGCTGAGGAGAGGGCGGAGGGAGAACGTGAGCTGAAGCTGGCTTGGCGCTCCCCCCAGTCCTCTCAACGATGGGTAGAGCTGGGGTGGGGGGGTCTAAACCCACCCGCGGTGGTGGGATGTGGCGAGTCACGACGCGGCGTGCGGGGGAGCCGGGGTCTTGGCGGCGGGTCACCCGGCCCTTGGTGCTGGCGCCTGTGCCCGGGGTTGGATGTTCTCGTGGCTCTTCCCATGGTTGTCCGGTGGAACGGCGTCGCTTATTGCTGCGCAGGTTTGAGTGGCAGTTAGTCAAGGAGCGTGGTGTTGGCGTGGGATGGTGGTTCTGTGCAGCGCGGCTGGCGGCTCCTGGGGTGCGTGAGGATGAATGTTGAGGTGTGTTGGGTGGGCGAGGTGACGTTGGGGGGCTGCAGGGGTGGCTTTGAGAAGCTGCTGGGAGCTTCCGTGTCTGAGGGAACGAGCCCCGGCAGCGAGAGCACCTCGGAGTTAAGGGGGAGAAAAAGCCTGGGGAGTGTGAGAGGAACAGCTCTGCGGTGGAGGAGGAGGAGGAGAGACCCCTCTCAGCCCATGGGGAGAGGGCAGGCTCTGCCCTGCACCCATGGGGGACCCCACGCCGGAGCACGTGGGTGCCCCAAGGGCGCTGTGACCCTGTGGAGAGCAGAGCCCACGCTGGGGCAGGCTCCTGGCAGGACTTGGGGACCCCACGCTGGAGCAGTTCGGGAAGAGCTGCAGCCCGTGGGGAGCACCCACATGGGGGAAGGTGGTGGGGGCTGTCTGCTGTGGGAGGGAGCCCACGCTGGGGCAGGGGAGGAGGATGAGGAGTCCTCCTGAGGAGGAAGAAGCGGCAGAGACAAGGGGTGATAGACTCACTGCTACCCCCATCCCCTGCGCCGCTGCCGGGGAGGCAGGAGCGAAGCTGAGCCCAGGCAGACGGGAGGTGTGTGGGGGGAGATCTTTTAAATTTGGTTTTATTTTTCATTACCCTTCTCTGATTTGATAGTAAATTATTTTTTCCCCAAGTCAAGTTTGTTTCCCCTGTGATGGTAATTTCAAAGTGCCTTCACCCCCACCTTTTTGGGCAACGCAGCGTCCCCTACAGAGCAGGGCAGGAAAATTGCTTTATTGTATGACGGGATTTGTGTTTGGGGCAGGATTAGCAGTTTTGGAGTTTAAGTGTGGCACGCTGGCATGCATAAAGCCGTGAAAACCGCTGCGTGTCGTGACAGAGGTGGTGGTTTGTTACAGAATGTCGTTTCTCTGCAGAATATTGCCAAAGATTTGTATGAGATGGATTCTTTTTTTTCTTTTCCCTCCAGAAATGATGAAATCGTGCTAGCAAAGCGCTCTATTTAGGGGGGTAAAAGCTGTGTTTGCACCGAACAGACTGAGGTACGCAAGTGGCTGCGGGATGATGCCGGGCGGGAAGAAAAGTGCTGTGGGGGGGAGCGCAAAAGTGGGGCAGCTCTGGAGAATTTTGTTTGTCAGGGTGTGGGAAAGGAGTGGAGTGGGCAGGTACGTGCTGTTGAAGCGCGGGGAAGCTTGGCCCAAAAAACCCCTCAAACCCTTCTGGGCGTTGCTGAAGGAAAGCGAAATGGGAGCAGTTTTAAAGCAAAGGTGACACGCGTGCTCGGGTGAAGGGTTTGGTTTGCACTGAGGCGGTGTCTGGACAGGATCAACCTCGGGCTGCGCGGGGTCTGGAGGAAGGTGAACTCTCGGGGAGGGCGAGCGTGGGACCCCGGGAGGCGACGGGTCAGAGCCCCTGGTTTGAAATCCAAGAGTCTGCGTGTCCAGGCTGAGCCGATAAGTTCTGAGTTGATAAGAAACTAATTAATGTGCCGGAGCACTAATTTAGAGTCATTCGAGTGAGTTGAGGATCCAGAAGTACCTGTACCAGCTGCGACGTTAAAGCTCAGGAAGGTTTTAAAAACGTGACGCTCGGTTGCGGGGCCGAGGCTTCAGCTCTGGGTTCCGTCCTGCGAGCGGGGAGATACCCGACGGTTCTTTGCGTCGGAGCAGACCCGATGGAGACGATCTCCGAGGGGTTGGCAGCGCAGGGACCGTCGCCCCGCGCAAGGGAGGAGGAAGCGCTGGGGTTTCTCTGCGTCGGGGTTTGCGGACGGCGGCGCCTTCGCGCGCCCGACACGGAGCTCCTCGAGGCCTGGTGGGCGTCGTGCCTCCACACCAAGGCTGCTGGTCCTCCCCGCCAAGGGGAAACGTTTCGTTGCTCTTGGAAAACGAAAGGAGATGGTGCAGTCCTGAAGTTTTCTCTCTCTTGGTTTTCGGCACCGAGGGGAGGGAGGTCGGGTCGCGGCGGCAGACGCGCTCCCACCTGCCGCGACCAGCCCCTTCCCGTCCCTCGGCGCCCTTCGCCGCTGGTGTTTGCAAAGCGCTTTGAGATCCTCTCAGAAAACTTCACAGAGCGGAGCACTGGGGCGTTTCGTGCCTCCCGACCTTTTTTCCTGTAAAATCTTTCCTGTCATTGGACTGTTGGCAGCCAGAGGCGCAGCTGGTGGAGCAGGAATGCCCGCTTCACCCGGTGAGCCGAGGCTTTCCCCGAGTGCCTTGTTTTTTAATTTCTGACCATCTTCACGGAGAATATCGTGTTCTCTGATGGTCATAATGGACTTTAGAAATAGAGAAATTAGATTAATATCTCCGAAATGTGCTATAAACCAGTTTTGATACCACTAGGGGAAGTGGAGGAGTCAGTGCTTTCTGACACGCTCTCAGTTTTTAATTACACCACGTGTCTGTGAGTTCATTAACTTCGGTAGTGGGGGAGTTGGGAGGCAGCTGGGTGTTGGGGGCACAGCCCCAGGGAGCCCCACACCACCTCTTCCCCCCCTTGGGCTGAATTTTGGATGAAAATGAACCTGACTCAGCGCAGGCTTAACTTCCCTCAGGCACGGACCGTGCGAGCCATCCGCTCACCCAGCTGTGGCTGTTGGGTAAAAATTCAATTTATTTTAATGTCTTACAGACCTGAGTGGAAACAGGTTCTGCAGGCGGGCAGGCACACCGCTTGGTCTGGAAACGTATTTTCTAGGATTTTTTAACACCGAGTGTCTTTTTTTTTATGAATATGTTCTCAAAATGCTCTCAGGGGTCCGTTGGCTCTGAAGAAGACGGAGAGGGGTGGTAAATGGAAAATGGAAAAGCAGAGGGGGCAGAAAACGTAACCCCCCTCTCCTAAACCCGCTTCGCAGCGCGAGGACAGCAGCGGGGCCGCGGCGTCACCTCCCCGCTGCCGCCGTGCTTTCCACCCGGCCGCGCCGCAGCAGCTCTCCGCCCTTCCCGGACGGGGAATTTCGCCTTTTCAGGCGATCCTGCGCTTCCGATAGTGCCGCTTTGTTGGTACAACTGAGGGCAATTGTGTGGCCCCTCTGTCCTGCCCTCGCCCAGCGCAGCTGCCCGCTGGCAGCCGAGCCCGATACTGCCCTCATTGTGCAAACACTGGGGCGCGCAGCGGGGAGGGAGGGGAGCTCTCCTCCTTAATTGCAAATCACGCTGATAGCGGAGCGCTTAATAAGCCTGACATCGGCGCTGAAATAGAAATGGTTAGAAAACTTGTGGTTTCTCCTTGAAACCACAGTTTAGGGGTTTTTTTTTGTTGTTTGTTTTGGGGTTTTTTTGAACAGAAACTTCTGCTTTAGAGCAGCAGACTCCATTGATCGCATTAGCCATGGCTTGAAACTTCTTACTCCTGATAACAGATAGTTTTTAGCTGTACAGCAAAATTATAGTAATTTCTAGATCGGCTGAAAATACCTACAGCTTTGGTAGGAGTCCACCACGCTAAGTGCAAAATAATCCTCGCTGCACCTGCACGTGGAAGAGCAGTTTGTCTCGAGTCGCGGTTGAAGCTATTTCAAATAGCTGAATTTTTAGGGGGGAAAAAAAAAAAATAAATGCCAGGAAGTTCCCGGTGTAACGAACGTTCCCTCAAATCCCTCTCCCGCGTGCCTGAGGAAGGCTGCGGAGCCTGACGTGCCCGCCCGCAGCGGGGGCTCCTGGTCCTGGTGCGTCCCGGTGCCCGGCCCCTTCCACCGCGGGGCCGCGTGTGCGCCCAACCCTTGTAGGGCTATTAACATAATTCTATGCAGTAATTTGTGTAATCATTAAAGAGTTGAGGAGGGCATTGTTCGCACGAGTAATTACCTATGTATTCTAATAGCTCTAATTCATCTCTTAAGTGAGTTTCATATTTTTATGAGTCAGCTGACGATTCATGCTTCAGGTATAATATTAATTTTTTTTTAAAATACCCGTTTCTTGCATGACTTGGTTGCCCTCTGCGGAGCTGGTGACGTGATGGATCCTGCTGAGCTCAGACCACGCGGATGTCTTCTGGGAAGGGTTCCCAGCCTGGACCCGGGGCTCCGGCGCTGGGCTGGCTCCCGCGGCAGGGATGGTGCAGGGTGTTTCACTCGCTGGGATGCCAAGAGGCTGCGGAAAGCAGCTGCCAGCGGAAATTTAAAAATGAAAAACTTGGCAGTTTGCTGAACTCTGGGTGTTTTCCTTCTGACACAGGCCAGGTCTATATTTTTCTGGGGATTTTTTGATGCTGCTTTCAGCTTGGGAAAAACTTCCCCCGCGCAGCTCCGGCTTGGGTTTGACTCTGCCTGCCTCGGCCACGTCACCTCCCCGTCCCCGCACACGGGTGTACTCGCGGGCGCACGCTGCGGGGCCGCAGGGAGAGCCCCGGGAGCCCCGTCCTGACTCGCGGGGTGACGCT